AAACTAAACAGCCTACAGTATTTTTACAGTCTTCATTTTTCAGTTAAAATATATGTTTATCAAATAAAGTCTAATGTTACAACTAATCGGGGATCCCTTTAATTTAAGTACTGAAAATGGCTGGATACTACTTTTGCTAAATTTAAGTCAAATGTAGTGTGGGTCAATTCAATTCTTAGCACTGAGAAAATGCATCATGGTTCTATTTGCTTCTTGTTGTACACCGGCACTATTTTTATACCTCTGCCTGAGGAAGMATGCTGTTCTTTGGTGGTCCATCTGTACGTTACCAGGTGCAAAATTCCGTCCGTCACACTGACTGTGTCTCAGTTCATGGGTTGCAGCCGACATAGACCACGGTCAACGTGGGCCGTAGGCTGGGATGCATAAACGGCTGTAAAATTAGACGGTCTAGTCTACAGAAGACCTACTGTATGTGGACGTGAACATGCGCTGCCCCATTACCATGTTGATACTTTTTACATCACATCGCTTCAGTAGTTCTTTCAAGGTACAGCTTTACAAAGTTCAATTTTAATAAAAAAAAATGTTACAAATAACTGAAAAAAGAAGCATTAATAATTTGGGTTTAGCTTCAGTATCAGTATTTGGACCGACCATGGACTGACGGAGCCCCAAAGGCCACCAGAAACCGGGACCAACACCCCAGCCCCCCAGAGCCACCCAGACCCCCAAAACTCGACCCCAGCCCCATAGGCGGCCCGCCGCCCAGAGAGGCCACCGTTCCCCAGCAAGGACGACCCAGCCAAGAGCGCCCACCCAACCGCTGACAGAGCAAGGGGCACCCAAGGCGGGCCCCCGCCACAGCAAAGGGGCCAACCAGTCGGCCCAGCAYGGCCCCCAGCCAYCACCAAAGGCCACCAACCCAATCCCCACCCCAGAAGACATACTACACCCACCACAACATTCGGGCCACTATCAGAACATATAACACAAGGACAYCCAGGCTGGGTCGACCCCCCCACCACTAGCTCCATGTCACGCCCCCAGCCAACCCTACCCCCCAGCCCATGAGAACCACAGACCACCAGCGCACCAGAGGCCCCTGGCCCAGGGCCCGGCAACCCGCCCGCCAGAGCCCAAGCCCCGCCCCACCAGAGCCACAGCCCAGGGGCGGCATGCCCCCAGAGTCCCAAGCCCCCCGCGCCCACTCCGAACCCGCCCCAGCACGGCCAGGCAACCTGACCAGCGACCCATGACCGCCACTACAAACTACCCGAGGGCCCACATGCAGCCACCAGAAGACATCCCCCAGAACAACCAAGGTCCTCCCCAGAGCGAGATCAGCGTCACCCCCGCTCCGGAACCCCTGGCTGCCAGCCCCCAAGAACCCCCCCAATCCCCCAGACCCCAAAGCAGCATTGGTCTTGTGTGCACTCCTGGCCTGAGCTTTTGATTTCAGTCAAAGTTAACATGACAATTGTTCTTGGTCCAATGGAGGTCTGAAATTGTTTTGAGGTTAAAGGTCAAAGCTGAAGGTCAGGTAAAGTGGTCTTTGTATTGTTTGTAYTTTGGATGGTACACATAAGTGGTTGGTCAATGAAATGAATGATATGGTATATAGACATTGTTGACATACTTCTTAGAATAGTTAAGTCCAAAAATAAAGGTCAACATGTAACTGCATGCCCAATACTTTAAATGCAGACAAAAGGRCRGGMGGAGGCRTACCAGTCAATGCTTTGGCATCGAGTTCTACCTTGTTTTTCCTTGTTTGTTACTGTCAGGAGCTTCAGTTTACTGCAGATAAACTTCAGTTCATGTTTTCTTGAAAACTTAAGACGAGCCTGTTAAAAGAGCCTGTTTACAGTCAAGTGACAACCTTTTCTTAAGTGCRTTAGCTTTGTTTTAACCAAACTGCAGATGTTTCCCACTTGTGGCTGTGCTTTAGCACATTGCCCACACAAACACCTGTTAATGGAAACAGATCTAGAAGTGTGTCCATGAGTGGCACATAAATGAAAGACTCAAGCAACTGTTATTGTGTGCTGTAAAAAAGAGGTAAAAATATTTCTGTGGCAGAAATCCTGTAATATTTTCTTATGTTCTGTTAACATTATATGTTTGATACAGGCTTGATCGTGGGAGTAGATTTACAAAACAACTTTTAATGCTATCAKTGAAATTTAGATTTTAGTGTCTGATTAAATTTGTTAGTATTTTCATCTTCACWGTGTCTAAATATGAGCAGATCTGTTGTTCACTTGACCAGACCAAGATTTGAATCTGTTTGATAATGAAATGAAGCTTCTGGAAGTTTTCAGTGTTTCCAGTCATGGATTGCTGCTCTGCCTAAGATTTCTGAATGTGACCAATGAGAACACAGTGAACTATTCAAATCGATGAAGAAGATTAAAAAGCCGGCAGATATTGTCACTRTAGAATGACGGAATTAAAACTAATATGTGTATATATATTCATAAAATAAGGCAAAGTGTTGGATTAGAGCTACCCTTAAAAACTACTTTAGTTCTATTTCTTTTTTAACTTTTTATTTATGTATTTATTCATTGACTGATGCATGCAGAAAAATAGGTTTTTTATATCTTCTTGAATTGTCTGAAAGTATTCATTGAGGAGAGTTTTCTAAAGAGAACCCTTAGTCCCAGATGGTTGAGGCTTAATTTTATCAGAGCTCAGTTTGTGTTCAAATCGAATTTAATTAAAATAGAACTGGAATGAAAAACTACTTAAATAATCCCAGTGGTTTAAAAAAATGTWGCAGTACATTGTTAATCAAGAGGGGAAAAGAAAAACACAAATAGAATTGAATAATGGCAAGTAAATCATGCATTTTATCCTGAATGAGTGTCCTGTTGGGCATAAAATGAGTTTAGGGTTATTGTTTTAAACAGAAGTGACCTGTTGTATTGTTTTATTTATATTTTTATTTTTTTTATTGCAGCAGAGCTAAATAAGTCTGAGTAATAATAGTCTACCATATGTGATTTATGGAATATCAAAAAGACTGATAAATGAAATMATATCTTAGCGATGGATTTGCGTCATTAATAACAGCTTTACTGTAAAAAAAAAAAAACATAAAAAAAGTGCATGGTTTGCAATTAGAATTTATAATGAAGTATTTTTTTCTCAACACAGCAACAACCCAGCACACCGATATTACCTGACAACCGATCCGGTGTCCGGCCAGCTGTACGTGTCGGACACCAACTCCCGCCGAATCTACCGGCTGAAAATCCTGAGCGGAACCAAGGACCTGCAGTCCAACGCAGAGGTGGTGGCAGGAACCGGTGAACACTGCCTGCCTTTTGACGAGAACCATTGTGGAGACGGAGGAAAAGCTCCAGAGGCCTCCCTCACCGGACCCAAAGGTATCATTTAAAATTAATGGAGTTGTTCTGCTCAATAGAGGGGTGGGAACGCACTGATAGATTTCTCATTCACAAGTGGCACCTGCTAGATTAAAATTTATGCACGCTTTGGGCTCTGGGCCAAATGATGGCTTACTCATTTTAAATTAATTAATTTTGGTTGTGGTTCTCATGTTAAATTAAAAGTAAACAGGGCTGTCTACTAAGAAAAACATGGATACTATGTGAAGTAAAGCTATGTAATGTTTCCACTCAAACAGCTATCGCCTGCAGAAATGTGTAACATATTACAGATTTTCTTTTTATTGGGTTATTCTTTTCCAAAACTGTTCAAAATGTGAACTTAATTTTCGAGTTTGTTGTTCCTTGGGACAAAAAAAGCTCTTGTAAAAGTCAAGACTCCATGCTTTTAAAGCTCACAGTAAAGTAACTACTGCCCACAAGCCAGTAAGTGCTATGCACAACCTGTTGTCCACATTCAGATAGCACATGTCCATTTGTGTCATTTGGGCCACGATTGCCGCCTTTTCCATAAATTCCTCTGGAATAAAAGGCTCGGATGAATTGTTTTGCGCTCGTTGCTGTCTGCTTTGAGTGCCAACTGCGATAGTTCAGCCTCAGCTAGGTGATAAAGGCTTGAGTGAAAGCAATCTGAGGGAACGACTCTAATGATGGAGTGGGTGGAAGCCGAGACAAGAGAAGAAACAGCAGATGGCTCCATTTTTTTCTCCCCCTCCCTTTTTTCTCTTCTCAGACATTTGCTGAACTCTGCTCAAATGTGACACATTTCATCTGTCTGAGAATCTCAGGCTGTCAGATAGCCAGCTCCCAAGGATTCACTGCGAGCTCCCACAGCTCGTCAATGTTTTAGCAGAAAGCAATCTTGTGCAGCCCTAGCCACAGGTCAAACCAAACCACTAACCTTCCATAGAAGCTTTTAAAGACTTCATTGAAAAAAAGAAATTCTCTGGAGGTAAGAGTAAAGTTATAGCAGCTTCCAAACATTTGAATTCCTGTAAAAAAAAATAAACTATGGCATATTTATCCACTGTACTGATATCAGCAGAGCTCAGTCTCTGGAAATTAAACCCCCAACCGCAGCATGTTAAAACCTGGGTGGGGAATGAAAAATAAATAAAAAAAACAGCCTCCCTGCATGTGAGGTACGGCAGAATTCCCATAGGCGCTGAGCTCTATTAAGCAGCACGGTGACACGGAGAGTGATGTGGAGGCTGGCATGCCCTGTTAATGTATTTTCCCAGTTTGGGACGTACGGTTATTGCAACTCGGCACAGGTTTGGCTTCAACTTGGAGATCCGAGCTAACACTCAATCACCGAGACAATTCAGTTCTCACTTGTCACCGAGGCAACTGCTCGTCTTTAACCCCCTTTTCATGAAAAATCGTCGGAAGCTGTCATGTCTATTCCCCGGCTTATTTATTTCTCAAACGATGCGCGATCGCCGCCATTACGCGAGTCAGAGAATCCTCCTCAAAGCGCCGCTCATTGACACCGCCACCTCCGGAGGTCAGTTTTAGACGGCGGGGTTACAAGTAGCATATATGGCGTATGAATACAGCCTTTCCCACTTCTGCCTGCGAAATTATTTAATAGCAGAAAAGCAGCCCGTGAATTATTGATGGCTGTGCTTTTTGCAGTGACCTGAATAATGGGAAGGCGAGCCTGACACATGTATCCATCGTGTTCTGTCCACTGAGTCATGCAAGCAAGGATGTGGCATCTCTACTATGTTTTCCTGTTTTCACAAGCTCTTTTTATTCTGTTTTCCTCCTCTTTTTTTTCTTTTTTTTTTCTCTCCCACCCCTCCCCACCCACCACCGCCACTTGCTTTCAACAGGCATCGCCGTGGACAAGAACGGGCTGATTTATTTTGTCGATGGCACCACGATCAGAAAGGTGGACCAGAACGGCATCATCTCCACTTTCCTCGGCTCCAACGACCTGACATCGGCTCGGCCCCTGACCTGTGACAACAGCATGGATATCAATCAGGTGACTTAAACAAAGACGCGCCAGGAAGCTGTTAACTCCGGCAGAGGGTGTCGCAGTGCCACCTTGTGCCCCCTCCCCCCACAAGCCCTCAAACCCGATTTCAGAACGGCCCCTTCAGCAGTGAGATATGGTTACGGGCACACACATAAACACGTCGTTACAAGCAGGCTGATTGGTTTTTAAGGGACAGCAAAACATGCAGGGGATTAATTTTCCCTACCAGCTATATTAGTATTAAGAGCTTCCAATTTAAGAGAAAAATAATAATAAAGTCCTCTTTAGGGGAAATTAAACAGTTGCTATAGAAACTGTTATTTTTTTCTTCCTTCTTCCTGCAAATATCGAATAGTTTAATAAAATCTGAACTGAATGTTTTAGTCTAATTCATTTAGTTTCTAGCCATTATTAAATCAATCTTACCTGTTTATGCTAATTGTTTCTGATTGCCCCTTGGGACTCAGATGATTTGTTACATTTTTTTTTCATTGATACATATTCTTGATTTTCTAAGTAGATTTGATTAAATTCTGAACATCTGAAATCGTTTGTGTTAATGATGCTTTTAGTCAGTGTTGTATAAAGTACCGCAAGGTGATACTTGAGTAAAAGTACAAGTATCTTACCAAAGTATTACTTTGGTAAAAGTAAAAGTCTCCTTTAGGAATATTACTTGAGTAAAAGTCTTAAAGTATCTGATACTTTTTTTGGGGGCGGCTGTGGTGTAGTGGTAGAGCAGCCGGCTTGGGACCCGAAAGTCTTAGGTTCGACTCCCAGCCATACCCACATG